AAACCGTAAGGGAGAAATGAACAAACATAAACACTATGAAGTTACGCCAAAATATTTTCTTTTTTCAATTATTCTTGTTCCTTGTGGTTGAATGGGATTCTAAGCTTAAGATTTCGAAAACAGAGAGTTTCGAAAAACCTTAGAGCCAGCACCAATGAGCTTAAACAGAACAGATAAGAGCTAAAGAGATAGAGCTAAGCTACTTCACCTCTTCCGTAAGTCTACGTCTCCACCCAAGCCTAGACATCCCAACATTGCCCAAATAGGTGTCCCATCTTGACCTGCAAAATTTACACAGAATTGCAAAATTGGAAGAGGTTTAAGCATGAACAGATCGTAAAACGTAAAACTTTATAGCAGCAAATTGGGTTGCAAGCGAGCACTAATCATCATGAATAAAAAGTGGGTGCACAGAATTGGCAAGAGATAAACTCGTTTCCTGAAACGCAGCTATGAGTGACGGCGATCAATCTCTCCATTTTTTACACAATTAAACTTAAACCTGTGCATAACCAAGGTTTGGAATCGTACTCAAATCAGGAATAGGCCCTTGTAAGTTGCAGTTTCTCAAACTCCTGAAAGAAACAACAAAAACACAAAGATATCAATCTTGACATGATTCGTCGTGTTAAATATTAATAGCTACTTCTCGATTGTCATTCCAAACAACCAGCACCATCACCTAATGTGATATAACATCAGATAGAAACGGGAGATGTTCCTTGCACAGTGGTTGGAAATATGTGTTTCCCAACAAAAACTATGATTCCCTCTATTGTTGCTTCTATGATTATAACTTTCCCTCTATCGTTCGGAATAGCTTCTCTGCACTTTTTCAGTATACGAATATAGTCGTCATCTCTCCAGTTGTGAAGAACCCACTAAATTCACAAAAAAATCATACTTTTCACATAACACGTCTTGTCTATTAAGCAAGAATAGAGGCACCCCATTTTTTCTCGATGGTAATAAGCAAATCACGTGATGTGATAGTTGATATGTTTGTTAACTGACATCTTAATTATATTAAATCATAAGTTGTGATCCCTAGCTCTATTGAGGTTTCATTGGGGGATTAATATTAAACAAGACGACTGCTAGCTAGTAATTTTTAAGGCAATAATCTTCCCAAGTGTTTTAATTTTATTGGTTTCCATAAACTATAAATATACTAACCATGATAAGTGCAGCATCAGCCTTTGGAACACAAAAAAAAAGTCACCTCCATCCGATCACACTCCTGAGCAACAGACACAACACGAGGAAGATCAAAATCGATGCCTCGAATCCACAGACAAGTCTCGACCAACAAGCGCAACGTAGTACCATCACCACCACCCACACCTACTATTGTCTCAAGCCCTTTGAACACCTCTAAACACCCTTTGAACACCTCTAAACATCTTTCAATCACTGCAGGCACAGCCACCCTTGCCTCACAAGCCATTGCATCATTGATGAGCTTGCTGTGATCAGGATTGGCGGTGGCAAAGCTCCATACATCTTCTCGATGCACTGCCTCAAATGACGGATTGCTATTTCCTCGAAGTTGGGTACTTAGGCCGTGCCATGGTGCCAGCATTACCGGGATACTCTTGAGCAAAATGATTGCAGCCACGCTATTTTCTCCGGATTTTAATAGCCGTTTGGACAAAGGTGTTTGTGCATAACCTTTGGGGCCTAATTCCGTTGGTTTTTCTTTGAATACTTTGAGGTGGACTAGTGCCCTCATGACGCGGTAAAGGTGAGAAGGATCACAACTTAGAGCAGACGAGAGCTCCAAGAGTGTCATGGGGCTGCCATGGCTTTCAATTGCATCGGCTATCCCGAGTTCAATGGCGCATTTTACCACCACGATTTCAACAAATCCTATACATATTTCCACGCATCCACTTTCGCACGCTCTTCCTCTTCTTCTTCCCACCTTAAATCTCTTTTTGTATCTTCCGTTTTTCTCTGCGAGTGCATCTTGTTGTGCGAAAGCTCAACAAAATGTGTAAGATCGTGAGCGGAAACAAACAATGACAAGCGAGAGATAAACAAACAATGAAACCAACGTATTGAACCAAGGAGGTTACATATGGGCATTTGTAATACAATGAAATACACTTATATGATATCACACTAGGTTACTAATTGAAACCTGAAACTATACTCCTATAAATGAGTTCATATGAATGGAGAATTATATATGAAGGGTTGTGAGTCGCCCACATCATATCTCCATAAGTAAATCCCTCAAGTATACATGGGAGCAAATTGCTTTGTATAAGTTCTAAAAAGGTAATGTGTCATGAAGTGTAGGAAATCTTTGAAGGATTCAAATTGCTTGAAGTAAGTTGTGGAAGGGTAAATCATAAATTATGTACTCAATAACCAATGGATGGTATAAATTGTTTTAGTGAGTACTTTCATTATGATATTGTTGCAACATACTAAACCTCTTGCAAGAGTTGATAATATTAGATTGAGACTCAAGAGTCTAGAAAGATTATAAAGTGTTGAAAGAGATATTGTCTTGAGCTGCAGATCGAACAATATGCCAACACGAATCTTATTCATGATGTTTATGATATTAAAGAACCATATGGATTGAAGATTATGAGTTGAATACTCAAATGATTAATCAATATTTAGACACTAAGACAGATCATCTATCTTCGTGAGGGAAAAGATAAATTGATATTTGGTCCAGAAGTACCATATCTTAGTAAAGGATATGCTTTATTGTATTTAACACAATATATTAGAATGAAATGAAGCTTATCTATTAATTTATATTCTTGGAACTAGAGTATTGCATCATTTCCTCATGTATTTATTGATTATGGAACTAGAAGTTTCTATGGGTTTCTATATCTAACAAGCTGGAATAAAAGTTTTCAGGCATATGGGAGGAAATTTTTATACATACGTTACTTGGGAGAACCCTAGAAGGAGGAGGCACTGGAGATTGATTATGTGACGCCTTAGTACTTGGCGGAACTCCAGAAAGAAGAGGCACCGGAGGTTGATTATTTGGAGCCTCAATACTTGATAAAACTCCGGACAGCGAAGGCAATTGGTGCCCTTGGAATAAAGCCACAAACCTCTGATGGTCACTTTGAATCCAACTTTTGAATTCCTGCAGCTGGTCAAGCTTAATTTTTTTTCATGCTCGTTGAGTAATTATTACAAGCCTGTGCAACTCTCTATTCTCGTGCTTGAGCCCTTTGATCTCTTGTATAAGACTTGCCACCTCAGCTATTAATGATTCGACTTGGCGAGTTCGAGTAAGTAGACGTTGGTCCATGTTGGATATAGAGCTCACACACTGAACACTGAAAGCCAGGGGGTCTTGAACAAATCAGACTGTTTTGGAAGTATCCTGTTATATTTGGGAGCGAGAAAATTCCTAGTTACCATTGTAGCAGTTATGTCATTCTTCATCACAGAGTCCCCAACTATAAGAGGACCATTACTGGATAAGGATAGGGGCGATATATTGTCTTGAGGAGACATGTTTGCATTTTTTACAACATTCAAATTGAAATGACAGTCAGATGGGCAAGCCATTTTCAAAAATGATGAAAGAAAAAGAAGTTAGATAAATTGAAATCTCAGAAATGCAAAAAAAGGGAAATTTCTACAAGTTGCAACTTTTCGAGTGTGCATTTTGAACACAATTGATGCCTCTATAAAAGAAAAGGCAACATGGCCACTTGGTCAAAAATCGAAGAGGCACTGCTGTTCGAATTTCAAAAGCCAGATTTTCCTGAAATCAGTCGGAACCTGAAATCAAACTTCCAGTTAGGAACCGACTGTCTAAAATCAGTTGGAACCTGAAATCAAACTTCCTGAAATCAGTCGGAACCTGAAATTAGTCGGAACCTGAAATCAAACTTCCAGTTAGGAACCTGAAATCAAACTTCCAATTAGCAAGACAAGGAGAAATAAAGCAATCAGTCGGAACCTGATATCAAACTTCCAGTTAGGAACCGACTGTTTGAGACCTTTCCCTGATTGCTAGCATTGCTCTCGAGAAGTCATCTTTAACTGTTGTTAGGTCTCAGATTTCCTCAGCAAATACCTCAGAACAGTTGATATGATGTTGGCTTTTTTACACTGAAGCTGTCAAGCATGGATGAGTCGCTGAGAAGTGATGTTTTGAAGGATCATTCAAAGACAAATGTTGCGCATCACTTTTGCTATGCAAGAGACTGAAGCAGAAGGATCAATGAAGAGCCCACAAACATTCAAATATTTCATTGACATGCATCGGCCTAAAGAATTTACATATGGCTATCTAAGGAGGAGTGTTATAAAAATATGTGGATGACCCACATGAATAGTGATTCCCTTGGCTATAAAATGAATGAGGGGAGAAGGAGGAGAGCACACCAAACCGGAAGGAAGAAACATGAAGGAAGAGAGAAAAGAAAGAAAGAAAAGAGAGAGAGAAAGAAGAGGGAAATAATAAGGAAAAAATAGTGAGAGTTATCTTTGTATTCTTATTATTCCAGATTATAAATGAAAGCACTATTGCTGCCCCGATGACGTACTTTAGTCACATTGATTGTAGAGGAGTCTCGTAAATATTGTGTCTTGTTTCATTTATTTCACTGCACACATACCGTCGATTTTACAACAATTAACTCATATTCGCCAAATATTGTCTCGTATATGCATGAAACGTGAAGAGCACACTACAAAAGTGTTATGCACAAAATAAATTTCTCTCTTGTATTTGAGCAAATTAATTAGAATCTACTATTGTTAATGATTAAAATAAAGAGAACTTTAACGAAAAACTTCCGATACTATTTACTTTAACAAAAAACCATATTTTTACACTAAAAAGTCAATTTTGATATTATTCACTTTACCTTTTATTTTGTCCTTATCGTTAAAACTCAAAGTTTTTTGTCCTTATTGTTAAAACTCAAAATTTTCAAACTATTTTTATTAGTCTTCTTTAAAATAAATTGTTCAAACTAAATATTGTATGAGCTCCTCCAAAGAGTTAACCATTTCAAAAATTCTCAAAGACATAAGGCTGAACCCAAGCCTAAAAGGAAGTCTGGAAATAATTTTCAACCAACAATAAACACACCACATTTAGAACCTCATTGGCTACGTCATTGGCCCAAGCGCAAAGATGCATTCTAAACCGCCGTTGGCCCCATTTTACAGCGCATTTGCAACTCTGCATTCTTCACTTGACCGATATGGGACAAAGTTTTTCTCTTAAATATGTCTCAAGAATCTTAACAATCTAACACATCACACAATTATATATTATTGTCAAAACAATCCAGATACTACAAGACAGACGACAAAGCAACAGCACTAGAAAATTACTTTTGAAAAAAAAACCACCAATTGAGAATACCAATCGACATCCTTAAGTTTAATTGCTGTGTAAATTTATGGAAAAGCTTGAATCACTGATTGGACTGCATGAATAGGTGTGATTGTGTATCGGCTAAATCCAGCCTCTCCAAGAACATATCCCCATTCCTTCAAGGTCCTCTCTTTGCCTGTGTTTGTATGGGCCAGCATCACCATGTCTAGCATCAATCTCACATCTGCTAGCTTGTTGTCTTCTTTTCCATCTTCTTCGATCACAGCTTCTATGATTATAACTTTCCCTTTATCGTTCGGAATAGCTTCTTTGCACTTCTTCAGGATACGAATGCAGTCGTCGTCTCCCCAATCGTGAAGAACCCACTACAATTCACGAAAAGAGAATTGGATCATACCTTTTATCATAACATGTGTTGTAAATCAAGCAAGAATAGAGGGACCCTGTTAAAGATGCTCCACATGCAGTGCACTGTGCTTTACAGATTCCACTGTGCTTTACAGATTGGAATATGGTTCCCACGTTAAGGATGTATGATTATGCATAGTGGACAGCAAGGCCACTGCATGTGTATACTGACTGATGCATCATAGACAGCAAGGATGCCACTTCCAGTTGCTTTGTTTATTTGCATGCGTATGTAGTAAACTGTGTATAAAACTCTGCTGCAATTGCAGCAGATCATTCATTCAAATATAGATTGGATCCAAGTTTAATAGACCCCACTCTTTGTCTTCATAATAATGGCAGACTACATGATGCAATAGCTGATATATTTATTAATCCATCATCTTAATATAATAAGTCATAAGTTGTGATCCCTAGCTCTATTGTGGTTTCATTCGGGATTTATATTGAAGAAGATGACTACTAGCAGGTAATTTTAAAGGATATAATCTTCCTAAGTTGTTTGTTTTAAAGTTTTTAAGCCAAAATGGTTTGTACACGAGATTGACATAACTCATTACTTTGATCATTCAAATTTGAAATCAATAGAAGTTGTCCTTGAGTTTGTTCACCATCAATCGTTTTAATCATTTCTTATAAAATCTATGTTAAATAAGGAGAAAATGACAAAAGTACCCTCACCTTAATAAATAAAGGGCCAAAATAATTTGACAAAAGTTGAGGGTATTTTGTCATTTTAGTCCTTATTTAACTGAGATTTTTCACATAAGAACCAAAATGATTGACGATGGACAATCTCAGAGACCACTTCTATCGATTTATAATATGAGGGACCAAAGTAACGAGTTATACTAATTTTAGAAACCATTTTGGATTAAAAAAAATCCATTAGTTTTATTGATTTCCTTATACAATAAATATACTGACCATGATAATTGCAGCATCAGCCTTTGGAACACAACAGAAAAAGTCACCTCCGACATTCTCAATCCGATCATACTCCTGAGCAACAGACACAACATGAGGAAGATCAAAGTTGATGCCTCGAATCCACGGACAAGTCTCGACCAATAAGCGCAACGTAGTCCCATCACCACCACCCACATCTACTATTGTCTCGAGCCCTTTGAACACCTCTAAACATCTTTCAATCACTGCAGGTACAGCCACCCTTGCATCACAAGCCATTGCATCATTGATGAGCTTGCTGTGATCAGGATTGGCGGCGGCAAAGCTCCATACATCTTCTCCATGCACTGCCTCAAATGACGGATTGCTATTTCCTTGAAGTCGGGCACTTAGGCCGTGCCATGGTGCCAGCATGACCGGGCTACTCTCGAGCAAAATGAGCGCAGCCATGCTATTTTCTCCGGATTTTAATAGCCGTTTGGACAAAGGTGTTTGTGCATAACCTTTGGGACCTAATTCCGTTGGTTTTTCTTTGAATATTTTGAGGTGGACTAGTACCCTCATGACGCGGTAAAGGTGAGAAGGATCACAACTTAGAGCAGACGAGAGTTCTAAGAGTGTCATGGGGCTGCCATGGCTTTCAATTGCAACGGCTATCCCAAGTTCAATGGCGCATTTTACCACCGCGATTTCAACAAACCCGAACACATATTTCCACACATCCACTTTCGCACGCTCTTCTTCTTCTTCCGAAGTTAACTCTCTTTTTGTATCTTCCGTTTCTCTCTGCGTGTCCATCTTGTTGTGCAAAAGCACAACAAAATGTGCAAGATCGTGAGTGGAAACAAACAATGACAAGCAAGAGATAAGCAAACAATGAAACCAAGTAACAAGTACTCAAAGATTTATGCTAGTTGAAATTTTGTAAACTGCAGGTTTAATATGAATAATTAGTAATCCGCTATGATTAAAGAGGAGCATATGGATATAGTGTTTGAACACTCAACATTTAGGATGCACAAGTGAAAGATGGAAAAATATGAGACTCAACCGCAAAAGAGTGGATGTAAATAGCTAGTGTGTTTTTCTCGGGATTTCTAGCATCTACAAATATATGTTGAAAGCTTGGGATTTCTCACACACATATGTGTGTGTATATATACACACAATGGCCTTTATGGGGAGGGATACCATTTTTTTTCCTTTCAAAAAATAGGGATTAGTTATGGGACCTACTCGGCTATTCCATGTCGAACTTCAACAACCCAAACCGTCTATTTTTTCAAGTCCCAATTTATAGATCATCTATGCAAAATTTAATTTAGTTTGAAACCATTTGCCCATTTAATTGTTATGATGAAATTTCAATGTTTCTTAGAATATTGTGTTCCTCAATTTTTTTGAACTCAACAAAATGACTCAATTATTTCCGATTTGCCTAATATTTTGTAAGAATGATCTTACACCTTGAAAAATAGATGGTTCAGATTATTGAAGTTCGATGTCGTGTGAGCCCAAAACAATCCCCATTTAAAACAAAAGGATGTGGAGTCATTCCCTTAAAGGCTTTGTGTGTCTATATATAACATCCAAAGGTTTTAGGCTGAATTGAATTTTTGCAAAAAGTTTTACACTCCTTTTTAACCATTAGATTTTATAACATCCAAAGGTCTTGATTAAATGTGATGAGAATGTTTTTACACATTAAATGACATGAATTATAACTAATTAAAAATAAGAAGGCTTATTTTATTAACCCACAAATTGTTGAATAAACCCCACATACTTAATCCACCCCACATTTGCTTTTTCACTTATAAATTATCTTAATACACCCCACATACTTCCCCATAAGACCTTCACACCCCACATTCTCAATATATACCTTTTATTTTCTACATACCCATATTTTTTATACACCCCACATTTCTCAAATCTTACAACACTCATTTTTAATTTTCAAGAACTAAATCCAAACATTTGTTTGTCGAATGATTTCAAATTATATGAAGTTTAGTTTGCCGAATGATTTCAAAATGAATGATTTGAAAAATGTTTAGATTCATTTGAACTTTTTCAATAATAATAATAGTAATTTCAAAGCTACCATGCTGTTTCCATTTTCTTGTGCATATTTTGGTCGAACAAATTCGAATTGCAAGAAAACATCTTAGTATACTGCAAGAAAGCACCATTAAAAATCACCATTGCCGAGTTGAAAATCACCATTAAAAAAAAGTCTTGTTGTTTAAGTTGTACTCTTGCCTGGCAATCAATATATTTTAGTTCAGCTTCTAAAACATAACTTAGTCAAAATCTAGACATATCGTTTTGGTGGTGGCTATATTATTTAGACTTGGTAATAGCTTAAATTGTTCCACACGATCTTGGTAGTGGCGTAAAGGTGTCGAGAGTTATTTACTGCAAGAATATGCCAATTTTTTGCAATCGGTGGCATGGGATGTCCTGGTGCCAAACGTAGCTATACAAAACAAAAGGAGTCAATTAGCTTTCAAAAACAATGTTCCATGTTGCAAAAAAAAGTAAGTCATCTCTTAGTACTTGTATAAAGTGATTGTCATTGACTAAACCAATAACAATCTCAGGAAGATTTGTGGACTCATCATCTCCTAATACATATAAAGGTAGGAATGAGAGGCATTGCAAACGGGATAAAAAAATCACCACTGCACAATAATGAAGTTTCATTGGTTAGGGTTTTGTTCAATAATGGAGGGTGGGAGGAGTTTTGATAGTTGAAGAAGAGAAATAATACGCTAAAAGTGATTTGGGTGTATTTAGAAATTTTTTATTTTTTTAATACCTAATAAGGTCAAAATTGTCATTGCATAGTAGGGTAAATAAGTCATTTAATATTAAATTTTATTGTGAGGTGCATTCAACATTTTATGGGATGCTAATATCAAAAGCCAATAAGAATGTTAAATGAATATCAAATAATTAAAATAATAAAACAAGTAAAAATATCATCTAACTTAAGGCACTGGCCAAGAATGAGGTGAAGAAAAAATTTCAACACCTTCATTAAATGTCGTTCTCATTCGATTGATACATAAATTCAAAAACATATTAAGGTATTAGCTTGATCTCTTGAATTATTTGGTAGGTAAACAAAACGAAATGCTAGACCCTAAATCTTCACTCTTGTATATTTTGATAAACCTAACAAAAGGTGATAAACCTAACAAAAGGTCCACGTCAGCACCACCAATTCAACCACAACCTTCCCGCTGCAATCTGCAACCGAAGGAATAATCCCAACATGCACAACTCTCTCAACTATCTGCTGTACAACCTGGACAACAGAAGGAATAATCCCAGCCAGACAATCACATGGCTTCTGCCACCTTTAATGTTTTTTATATGCTACCTTTATTGTTGTTTATTGCATGCGTGTATATGCAAACTGTATATAAACCATGCTGCCATTGCAGCATTGGTAAGTGAAAAATATATC